GCTGTGCCAGTATTATGGGGGTCAATGTATAGATACACAGGGCTGTGCCAGTATTATGGGGGACAATGTATAGACACACAGAGCTGTGCCAGTATTATGGGGGTCAATGTATAGACACACAGGGGGCTGTGCCAGTATTATGGGGGTCAATGTATAGATATAGAGGGCTGTGCCAGTATGATGGGGGACAATGTATAGACACACAGAGCTGTGCCAGTATTATGGGGGTCAATGTATAGACACACAGGGCTGTGCCAGTAATATGGGGGGTCAATGTATAGATATATAGGGCTGTGCCAGTATTATGGGGGTCAATGTATAGACACACAGGGCTGTGCCAGTATTATGGGGGTCAATGTATGGTCACACAGGGCTGTGCCAGTATTATGGGGGTCAATGTATGGACACACAGGGCTGTGCCAGTATTATGGGGGGGTCAATGTATAGATATATGGGGCTGTTGTGCCTCGTGGGGTTCAGAACATGGTGTCTCTTGTCCTATGGGGTTCAGTGTATAGAATACATAGGACGGTACTGATATATGGCACCCCTTTATAGGACACACATGGTTGGGTGGCAGAATTCGGGTGACCCCAATCTGAGCTTTGGTTGCCTTCTGCTTCCCGTGCTGGCTGATGGAGAATCCCTTGTCTGTGGCTTGGAGCATCATCGCAGCTGTCCATCAGCAAGCCTTGCTATGAAAGCCGTCTCCAGCATGGGCCCCGTGCGTCTGGGAGAACGCTGAATCAATCCTTTGAAGCTCACACAAGTTGAAATAGGAGAACAATATGCCCTGAGAGGCCAAGCCAACCCCTCCTCCCTCTGACACTGCCTATGGCTCTTCCCCTCCCTTTGCCTGCAAATGAACAGCTGAAAGGCTTGTCTTGTGGCAGTCCCAGAGTTCCAGGGGTCAGGGCTCCCGGTACAGTAGCTCGGGTCCGTTGGCTTGCCTGTCATTTGCCCCGGCTACCTGGATGGGGTGTGAATACCGCAGGATCCTGGGCACATGATGAGGAGCCCAGGTGGCTAGTGCCCCTCAGTGTAGAGAGTTGGAGAGCACCCACCGCCCGTCTCTGCAGTCGTAGAGCGGCATGGAGGGAGGGACCGATGCTGTGCTAGCTCCTGCATTCCCCAGTCTCCACGCAGCACCTTCCTCTGCATCCAGGATGGCATCGGGGAGCAATCTGGACGAGCTGCAGAGGTCAGTCATTCATGTTTTGGTGGGCTTTGTATGCTGGATGTGCTGGGAATGGCAGGCAGTGTATGGAGCGCACAGGCTGCGTGCTCATTGTTTGCTGTTTGCATTCCTGTCTGTGGGAATTGAGTAGTTTGGGGGAGGAGGAGAGGCATGCATACATTAAACTCTGCTGATGTAGGTGCCCCCCCCCCCCCTTTGTTTACGCAGTTATTTCTATGCATTGTGTTAAATACAACACCTGGGCTATACTGTGCTGAACGGTCACCATTAACCCGTTCTCCTCCCCCTCACATGTGTGAATGGAGGCGGAGGGGCTGTGCTGTGTAGCATACTGCAGGTGCCTCTGCAGCACAGCTGTCATTCCCATTCACAATGTCAGGATCTTGTGTGCCAGGGTACCAAATCCTCTGCATCCAGGCTGAGCACACTGCAGGGGTATAAAACCCAGCAGCACCCTATTGGGGAGTAGAGGAACCGTGATCACGTCCAACCATCAGCACGGCCATTCCCTGGTTCTTCGCATAGAAACATTTCCATGTTCATTATTTTGTAGAAAACATTTACCAGCCGGAGCTATTGACTGGTCAGCTTATTAACCCTTCGCAGATCATAGATTGTGATGACTTGCGGTATGTACTCCATGTACCAGAGTGGGCGTATCATTCAGGAGCCAGTCAGTCTGATCTCAGAGGTCGGAACACATGGACTGATACACGCTGAATGTTGGCGACCCGACGGTGGGAACTAGTCCGGCTCTGCCTGGGTTTGTTGTCATACATTAGTGTGAAATGGCCAGAATTGGAAAGTTGTGGATTTGGGATCATGGGTGGGAGGGGTATGATCATGTTTACAGTCGGCCCATGTGGCCTCAGTCGATGCGCGCTCGATGTAGTCATTAATTGTGACTAATCACATATAATACATGGACACAATACAAGGAGCCTCTAATTATAATCTCTGTATTGTAGCACATTTGTAACGAGCCGTGTACTACATGTCATCACATGTACACGACGGCAACACTCAGAGCAGCTGATTGCGTAGAGTTTTACCGGTTTCCACCGCCCTCCCCGAGGCATTGAGCGCGCACCAATTGCCTGATGGCAGCTGCACATCAGATGACTGCTGAGGGATGATAGATATGGGTTGAGGCATGAGAAATGTGGGCTGAGGTAGCATAGGCATGGGCTGAGGTAGCATAGGCATGGGCTGAGGTAGCATAGGCATGGGCTGAGGTAGCATAGGCATGGGCTGAGGTAGCATAGGCATGGGCTGAGGTAGCATAGACATGGGCTGAGGTAGCATAGACATGGGCTGAGGTAGCATAGACATGTGCCGTCCGGTATGTTGGATCTCCATTGGAGATGAACTGTCCCACTTTACAGCAGCAATCTGCCCTCTTCTCTACGTTCTTCATGATTTTGATTTGCTATTAATAAATTCATGAATCTCCAATGCCGGCGCACCTTCTGTCTGCGTTATACTTTGGGGTGAAGGGTTGTTATGTACGACTTTCATGGAATGAGGCTTTATATCGGTAATAACGTGGATGGTGCAGTCTCCTTGTTTGTATTTATGGCCATTGCAGACTCCATGGAGGATGGAGAAATACCATGCCATGTGGTCACTGATCCCTGAATTCATATCGCAATTACCCCACAACCTCCCCTGAGTATTCCTAATTCCACTCTAATCATGCTGAGTACATGTAAGGCCGGACATGTAAGGCTGCGTGTAATTGCTGCCCAGAGAATGATCATCTGTGTTAGCAGATGGAGGTGGAAGCGATGTGACGCTGAGGAGCAGAAGGTGCCCAGGACACAGAATGTCTGGCGTCCCCTCCACCGGAGCTCAGGCCTGGCCAATAGGGATACCCACAGACACTGATATTCAGGACGATTGTACATGGGAAGTCTGAAAGGGTAACAGATTTGGGGGTGATTGTAGGCCACAGGCCGGATAATAGCTTGCAGTGCCAGGCTGCTGTAAACAAAGCAAGTCGGGTCCTGTATTAAGAAGGGAATGTTTTGCAGGGACAAGTCCGTAATTCTGGCACTTTATAGGTCACTGGTTTGGCCACATCTGGAGTACGCGGTCCAGTTTTGGGCACCAGTCCACAGAAAGGACATCCTTGAGCTGGAAAGAGTCCAGAGAAGGGGGCGACCAAAGCTATGAGACAAGGCTACACAATTAAACATGTTCTCATTGGAAGTGAGGAGATTAAGGGGGGACATGATTTTCATGTACAAAATGTTCACCGGGGATAGCAACATTGGCAACAAACTCTTTACAATAACCCCATGACAAGGACGAGGGGCCACCACCTAAAATTGGAGGAGAAAAAATGTCAGCACAAGGGGTGAAGGGGGTTCTTCTCGGTCAGGTCGTTCAGGGTCTGGAACTCACTGCCACAGGCTGTGATTTCGGCTGAGAGTGTGGAATCATTCAAGAGGCGATTGGACGATTTCCTCAGGGACCGTAATATACAGGGGTACGGGTAATATACTGGGGTACGGGTAATATACAGGGGTGCGGGTAATATACAGGGGTACAGGTAACATACAGGGGTACAGGTAATATACAGGGGTATAGGTAATACACAGGGGTACAGGTAATACATAGGGGTACAGGTAACATACAGGGGTACAGGTAATATACAGGGGTACAGGTAATATACAGGGGTGACGGGTAATATATAGGGGTACAGGTAATACACAGGGGTACAGGTAATACATAGGGGTACAGGTAACATACAGGGGTACAGGTAATATACAGGGGTACAGGTAATATACAGGGGTACAGGTAATATACAGGGTGACGGGTAATATATAGGGGTACGGGTAATATACAGGGGTACGGGTAATATACAGGGGTACAGGTAATATACAGGGGTACAGGTAACATACAGGGATACAGGTAACATACAGGGATACAGGTAATATACAGGGTGACGGGTAATATACAGGGGTGCGGGTAATATACAGGGGTACAGGTAATATACAGGGGTACGGGTACTCTTAAGAATGAGAACATACAGGGACTGATAGATACGCACATATCCGTAGGACCGTACACATACACACACATACACACACATACACACACATACACACACATACACACACATACACGCAATAGGTTGGACTTGATGGACTAATGTCTTTATTCAACCTCAAATACTATGTAACTATGTAACTATACGGATCGGCACATACACCGCGTTGTATCATGATGGCTCTACTTGTGACCTTTGTGTGTTGGGAACATCAGGGGCGAGATCCCGGGAAATCACGTATCGGGGATTATAATCTCATTTATAATAGAGGTGAAATGAAAGGACAACTGTGCTTAGCGCTTCCATCCTCGGTGACCACACATGACCTCGTTATTGCTGCAGAACATCTGGAAGCTTCCTTCTCGTATTTCATGGTTACTCCTTTCTCTGTCAGGAACAAAATGGAGAGGTTTGGATTCTGGATCCCGTGACTTCCACTCCTGCCCCTTAGAAAGTCACAGCCGCCTGGGGCTGATCCAAGTGAAGAAAACCCTTCCCTGTGCTCGAGCGGCTGAGAGGGACATTCACACAATTTTCGGGGGTGTTGGATTCTGGCCTATAAATGAGCTGTTGGCTTGTAGCAAAGAAAGGAAGTGAAATGATTTGTGTTTGTGGAGGCGGGAGACCCCCTTAAATGGAATGGTGGAGGCGGGAGACCCCCTTAAATGGACTGGTGGAGGCTGGAGCCCCCCTTAAATGGAACGGTGATCTATTTCCGTAACTAATAATGGAGCCCCCGCTAAGTGTTGTTTTCTAGCTGATGAAACAACCTTTGGATGACTTCAGATATCTGTGATGTGTTTCTGTAATTCCCCCAACACCGGATGAGAGGGAGAGTCGGCCAGCTTAGGCTCAGAGGGAACCCCAAATTTTCTCTCTGGGGCCCTTCTCATGGCCTATATAGAATTTACAGCAAGACCTTGTTACCGAGGGCACATGGCCCGGGTGTTCAACTGAATTCCCCTCTACTGAATGCCCCGGGTCCTCTACTGAATGCCCCGGATCCTCTACTGAATGCCCCGGATCCTCTACTGAATGCCCCGTGGTCCTCTACTGAATGCCCCGGATCCTCTACTGAATGCCCCGGATCCTCTACTGAATGCCCCGGATCCTCTACTGAATGCCCCGGGGTCCTCTACTGAATGCCCCGTGGTCCTCTACTGAATGCCCCGGGGTCCTCCTACTGAATGCCCCGGGTCCTCTACTGAATGCCCCGGGCCCTCTACTCAGTGCCCCGGGTCTTTACACAGTGCCCCTGGTCTTCAACTGAGTGCCCTGGACTTTACGGAGTGCCCCTGGTCATCTACTAAGTGCCCCTGGTCGTCTACTGAGTGCCCCTGGTCATCTACTGGGTGCCCCTGGTGATCTACTGAGTGCCCCTGGTCATCTACTGGGTGCCCCTGGTCATCTACTGGGTGCCCCTGGTCATCTACTGGGTGCCCCTGGTCATCTACTGGGTGCCCCTGGTCGCCTACTCGGTCCCCCTGGGCATCTACT